CTAAATCAGCTGAATCATGGTACCGGGCCCGGTACCCATTTCATTGAAACTGAATTTATACCCCAAATTAAAAATATCTGTGTTCCATTAAAATTTTACTTGTTTAAAAAAAGGGGGCTCAATGGCAGTGACATAAATTTTTGAAATGTATCATTGTCTCCAATTACCTCCAGATGGAACCGTCTCATTGCAAAGAAAAAAGCTTAGGGCTCTCATTGATTTAACGTTCTAGTAAGTTGAAATGCTAAATCACTTAATATTTATTTTTTGGTGCAACTGTATTTTGCTTGGAAGGCATGTTTAATTGCAATTAAATTGAAATTAATGAATCAAAATGATCTAAAATATAAACAATCAACGCCCCCCCCCAGCGGGCAGCAGTAAAATTATCAAACGTTAACAGGTCCGCGGTGATAAAAAGGTTGGGGAACACTGATATTTTATTAAAATTTTGTTTCATCTTAATGAGTAAACATCAATGTTATTGAAAATACCCAGCTTTGTCAGGATATATATATATATATATATATATATATATATATACATATTGATATAAGGAATTCATAGAGTGCACATGCATGCATATCGCCAATATAAGAGAGGATATTTTTTAAATTTCTTGTATGTTTTCGGAAACGGAATTCATTTGAAACTTGATGTTAAAATTTGAGCGTTAAATTGCTTCAAAATATCTAGATATTTTATGAATTATTTATTGAGCATTTTTAGGAAGAAATCGTTTATTTCAAAACATGATATGAACAGATTATAATTATCACCCAGTATCAAAGAGAACAGTTTGAGAATTTTTATACTTTTTGCAATGTGGAATTCATTTAAAATTTGATTCACATTCAAAAGTGAGCTTCAATTTTTATTAAAATATTGATATATGTATGTTATGACATATTTATTGAAAGCTTTTATGAAGATTTTTTTAGTCCAAAATATGCTAAATTGCGAGCACACATACCACTAACAAAAAGGAGAGAATTTTTCGATTTTTTGTATTTATTTTTTGGTAAAAGGAATTCATCTGAAACTTGTTTTATATACCTCAATTTGTTTCAAAATACTCATTTCAGTAGGGAAATGTTTATTGAAAACTGTTATTAAGAACATGTTAAATCAAAACGTGCGAAATTCTGAGTATATGCTTCGCGAACATACGAGAGGAAACTTAACGAATTTTTTCTATTTTTTGCAGTGAACAATTCCTTATAACCTGTTTTCTGTTTAAGAGTGAGAGTCAATCTGATTGATGATGTCTGCATAAATCAAGAAATATTTACAGACACTTTTTAAAGAGGATTTCTTTGGTACTAAACGCGCGAAATTCAAAGCATACAAATCACAAACATTAAGGAAATATATTTTTCGAATTACTTGCATTAATCTTGCAAAAAGAATTCATTTAACACTTATCTTATGTTTAAAATTGAGCAGCATTTTGTTTGAAAATTCTCACATATGTTAAGAAACATTTCTTAAAAATTATTAAGAACATGTTTAATCCAAAACATGGTAGGTTCGAAACTTACGTATCGCCAAAATCAAAGAGGACAGTTTGCTAATTTTTATGCTCTTTTGCAAAGTGGAATTAGCTTAAAACTTGACTAATATTTATAAATGAGCATGGATTTGTTTTGAAATACCCGTATATGTATTGAAATATTTATTGAAAGCATTTTGTTATTTTATTTATTTACCTATTAGTAGTCCGCTCTACTGATTGTTGAACCGGAGAAATAAGCTAGAGAAGCGATCTGAAAAGAATTGCTGTCCCGAGATTTCCCGAACAATATCGAGGTTGATCCTTTAATTTAAGGTTCTGTCTTTTAATTAAATAATAGAATATATTAGTGTGTGATATCTGAGTATTAAGTAAAAGAGTGAACAAATTGAGCTCAGATCATCAATCCTTCAATTAATAAATTTTTTAAACTGAAAAATTATTAGTTTTATTCTTTCTAATCTCAAGTTATTATTATTATTTTTACTTTAGTACTTAATAAACTAAATATTTTGGGCCCCAGGAGCGTCAAGTTTTTCATTTCATTCTATGTTTTTTATTTAAGCTTCCTTTCGTTTCAACCGGAATTTTTCAGATTTATACTTTCCTCGTTAGTATGTAAAAATCCGACCATAATATCAAAACTTATTCAAATCCTCAATTTTAATTTTTTGCAATGTATATTATATTACTAAAATAATAATGAAAATGGTTCAAGATTTTTAAGTATCATTATTATTATTTATATAAGAAATGCAGTGCTTTATATCACATTTAGATTTTAAATTTTTATGGTAATATTCTGAAACACAGAAGCAGTTTTTTTAAAATGATTTATTACAGTAGGTGAGTTGTACTGTTATACAATTATACAACGTTTGTCTAGGGAAAAAGCTTGGATGAGATTAAAAAAAAAATTTAAAAACTCACACACAATTTTTAATAAAAAAAAGAAGAGGAAAAATCAAGTGAGAAAACAAGACAAGCTTTCTATAAATCTTAACAATCATGATTATATTAGGAACAGCAAAATAGGGATTCATAAAAAAAAAAAAACTGGTTAATCTTTTTAAACTGGTATGCATTTATTTTTAGCCAAGAATCGCATTTAAGCTAAATGTTTTTAAATTATTTCGATACTCTCGTTTCTCATGTTTTCTTAATTTGCCCCTAATATGTATAGTTTTTTACTTCATTTCATTCATTTACTTCCGTCCCTATAGTTTTAACGATATATAAATCTCTAAAGACGATTTCGACAGATGGACTTTACAAGACACAGGGTACTTTTAAATCAATAAAATGATTTGTAACTGACATATTATTGGTATCAATTTTCAAAACGTTTTGAGTAAAGAGTATTTTTGCCCTAAATAACAGTATAAGAATGCAATATTGCTTTATTTATTTATTTATATTTTTGCTCGCACTAGCATTGTTTTTTGCCTTAACAATCTTTTACAAAGAATTTTTGATTCTCTATGTTGCGCAGAGAACAGAATTTTTTAATTCTGGAAAAAATTCATAGAATGTTTTTTTTCCTTTCAACTATTTACAAGTTAATATAAAAATACACCTGGCAGTACTGTTTTAAGCACTTCGAATCAAATTTGGTTATTTATAAGAAAAATTTACTTTTATAAAAGCGTTTTTCTTATCTACCCACTGGATAAAAAATTCTCACCTTTACAAGTTAGCCCACCATTGGCCACATCAAAATGTGCATGCTGTTCAATTTCGCAAGAATGTCGCTTTTGGCAATGGTGTTTGTCGTAGTAAAAAACGTTTTACGTAATATATAATAATATATGTATAACTTCTAGCAATAATAATTTTTAAATTAATCTAATTTTAAATTATAGCAAATTCTCCATCTTTATCAATAAAACAGAAATTTTCGTTACTGCTTTTTTAAATATTAAATCTGATTTTCATTTCCTCGTTACATTATGCATTGAAACAAATTACAGTTTGCAAAACAAAGAAATTTTTTATTTATTGTTGTTTTTTATTAATAATGAACACTAACAAAAAACAATTTAATATTAGCAATTAAATATTAATTTTAATGGGAATTTTATAATATTATCTGGTGCTTGCTCTAAATTTCTAAACCCTGAGCGCCCAAAATATCTCCAGTTTTAAAGCAATTGACAAACCTATTATCCAAAATACATCAGTAACTGAGTCAAACAGTAAATAAAAAAATTATATAATACATATTTAATAATTAAATTTATATAATTTCCNTATTAGTTGTCTTGACGGTGATTTTAATATAGGGGAGAGACGGGTAGCCCCGCCCACAGTCAATTTCATAAGAATTGAAGAATTTCATAGAATATTTTTTCAAGTCAATAGGCCATCGGACATTAATTGTTATATTAAAAAAAGATTATTTTCAAAGTATCAAATATTTATGCAGCTGTTAACTTGGTAAGCGATAGTTTTGAAAATATGTTGAATACAGTAGTCATGAAATTTAGAAAAATTGGTTGAATGTTTCGATTAAGCTTCATTTTAATACTAAACAAATAATTTTTTCTATACATACAGCATTAAAGTATGTAGTCTTAAGTTTAATTTGCACGAAGAACGAAGTCTATATGTGAAAAAATGTTCGAGTAATTACAAATTTACAAAGAAATTGGATTTCGGGTAGCCCCGCTCACATGAATGTCGGGTATCACCGCCCAATTTTATTTCGTCGATAAATGTACGGTTGCAAAGATTATTATTTTATTGCTTCAAAGTTGAATGTTATATGCATTTTAACAACAACTATTGTTGTTATTAAATTATCGTTATTAAATGATAGAATTCACTAAAAGTATATAAATGTGTAATAAATAAAATAATTTTGTGATAAAAATGATAAATGAGGTTTATCTATTGTCAACACATTGGTCACTTTCATTTACGCCTGAAAAAACAGTCAAAAAACATAATTTTTGTAACTGGGCGGGGCTACCCGACACATTTTGAAAAGAGATGAAAAACATATTTTTTTAAATTTAGATTTTTTTAAGTTAAACTATTCTTTTTCTGGTTTATTCTTTTTGTATTATTTAATTAGATGGTAAAACAATAGAAACATACAAAAATATTGATTATTACTCAATATTATGCAGAAATATAAGCAATACTCCTTAAGTGGGCGGGGCTACTCGACTCTCCCCTTTATATATACACATATATAAATAATAGGGCATATAAATATAAATGCATATATATATATANAACAATAGAAATATACAAAAATATTGATTATTACTCAATATTATGCAGAAATATAAGCAATACTCCTTAAGTGGGCGGGGCTACCCGACTCTCCCCTTTATATATACACATATATATAAATGCATATATATATATATATATACATATATATATGCAGAAAAAAACTGATAAAATGAAATATGAAAAAATTACTGCATAAAGGTGCAAAAAAATTAGTCTTCAAATATTTTATGAACAATTTTTATTTAAATGGTGACTTCATTCAAATAATTAGCAAGAAACAAAACTTATAAATTAATGAAATAACAATGTGGTTTGAGCGTCTAGAATAATGGTGACTACATACACTTTAGAGACGCAATTAGCTACTTTTCTTCAGCACTATTAGAACAATCAGAACTATCAACATTAATTAAAGTTACAAAAGTGTTTGAGCTATCAACGTTTGTCACATGCTGATTTGCCTCTCCTTCCAATTGTATAACAGTCACATCACTGCCGCTGGATCGAGGAGTGCTTGAATTTCTCGCTTGAAAACCTTTTCTTAGGGACCCATTATCCTTTTTACTAAGTTTGTTGCTTTGAATATGTTGTCTACAAGTACCATTTAGTCCTTTCTTACTCCTTCTTAGAAGAGGTCTTTTTTTTCTTGGTCTTTCTAAATCAGCTGATCCAGGATCTGACGTAGTTTCAGGAATTGGTGTTTCTAACTCTCTTGTGGAGCCTAATGAACTTGCACGGCCACATTCTTCTTCTTCTGACGTACTTGGTATTCGGTGTTTTCCTCGAAGAACGTTTTGCAATGCTGCAGCTCTTTCGACCAAAATGCGAGTGGAAAAATCATCTTTCCCATTCACATGTGATCGTCCATTTGGTAAATGGTTTCCATTATTTAACGTTCCATTCATCTGAACTGAATCTCCATTCGTATGTTTGCACTCAGCAATATGATGGTGATGATGATGATGCTTGGATTTTGTTAATGTTTTTTTACGTAAATTTTCTTGAGAGCTTCGTGAACCTCTCGAAGTAGTTGAAGAACGATCAGATGTGGGTGTACTTCGATCGCTTTTATCTACACAAACATGCTCAAATGAACATAATGGCAAATGCTGAGTAAGGTTGAATCCTTTAGTGGCACGGTTCCTTGACATACTATTTGCGAGTTTACTCAAGCACAACTCGAATTCGCTATCATCTCTGGTTGCAAGAACATTGCCCAAGTGACTTAAATACCTATTTAGTGAGCAATCATCAGTCGGCTGTATGACAGAGTCTGCTAACTGAGCTAAACACTTGTCGATTGTCGATTCATTTTCATCTTCACTAATATCCTCACGGTTTTCTTCTCCGCATCCATGTGGTGGGACAGGTGTATTTAAGGAATCTTCAGTCATGTCTGAATTGGCAACTGATATAGAATCTGACTCGATAGATGGTGTCTCTACAAACCTATCACATTCATTTTCATTGTAATTACTAGTAGAAATGTCATCAGGATCTTCATGGATGTGAGATATTCTTTGTTTAGGAAGAGAAACTGCTTTTCCAACCCTGGGAATAGATATAGAGTTTGGTGAAGGAGAACACCTTTTTGTTTCCCTAAAAGAAAAAAAAAATATCGATAGTGTTTTTTTAATTTTATTTCTGGAATCATAAAAGAAAAAAAATACTAATTTTCATAAATTATGTAATTTACAACTAAAAGAGACAAATATCAAGCTTGATCTCTAACAATGATGGTAAACTTATAAGTGGTATTGCATATACTGTGAGATCTTTTTACGGACAGAAACTGACAGTAGCTCAAATTAAAGAAAATACTTAATCACTGCGAGAAAAATAAACTGACACGGATTTACAGAAGTTTTCAGAAAATTACATTACCTGACTGTTTCACAAGATCCATTTGATATGGAAATGATGGTTTTCTCAGCTCCATCAACAACTTTAGAGGCAGGCACTATTTCAGGTGTCTTATTTCTAAATTTTTGTTTACCCTTTTTTCCATTTGTTGAAGAGGGAGTAGACGATCTAGTATCATCTGTTTCACTAATGACACCGTGATTATCATAACAATGGTTTTTGCTACTTTCTTCCGTTACAAGTAGTTCTTCATTTTTTCGTCCTTTTAATAAATGACGTTTAAAAATGTTTTTTGAAACATTTTTTTTAGTTTTTTGTGGCTGTAAAGTCCAGTTATCGTTATTTTTCAAAGTTGGGCTAGTTTTTGCGTTTTCACTTTTAGATTTGCCAAAATTTGATTTGAATTCCTTAAAGAAAAATTCCCGAATCATATTTTTCTCCTTTGGTAAATCAGTACTAAAATTAGGAACTGTTCTTTCTGATAATTTTTTTGCAACTTGTGTGGATAGTTGTAAATATTCCTCAAGAGAAGGATGCTCACTATCCTCGCCTAAGTTATACATATCCAAATCGGTACTTAATCGACTATCGTCATCTGTTTCTTCATCACCCGTGTTTTCACAATAGTCAACTTCTTTCAGAACACTGGAGGATGTTACGACGCTAGAGCCAGAGATTACTGACAAATTTTCTGAACTTTTACCAGAAGTTTTGGATTTTAATGACGGGGCTTTTCCTGGTTTTCTGAAACTTGAATTTAGAGAATCTCCTGATAAAGAGTCCTCTGAAGTTTCTGAACAGTCAGTTGAGTCTCCATCATTTATTCCTCTAGCATCCCCGTTTGCTATGTGTTTTTCTTTCATTGTTGATGGTTGACTGCTTGAAGAATTACTCATTGCAGTTCCAGGTCTTGCACTGGACTCTGTAATATCTTCTTCGCTTTCATCTATAAATAAATGAACACTAATTAACTACTATTTCAAAAAATATCAAGCATTACATCGATATACACTGAAGAGCCATTACATTATGACCACCCTGCTAATAACATGTAGGACCACCTTTAGCCATCAAAACTGCTAGCACCCGCCTTGGCAGTGATTCCACAAGATGCTGATAGGTACTCTGAGGTATCTGGTACCAAGCGCTCACCAACTGGTCCTGCAATTCTCTCACATTGCGAGGTGGTAGCGTGGCAGCACAATTTGGTTTTCCAAGTAGGACCACAAATGCTCTATTGAACTAAGGTCAGGTGAATTTGGGATCCAAGACATGACTCCTCAATGCNCACTGGAATGTTCCTCGAATCAATCCATGACGATTCGACCCTTATGACATGGTGCATTATCCTGTTGGTAAGCACCATCCCCCGCAGGAAAAAATGTTGCCATGAATGGGTGAACCTGGTCTGCAACTATGTTCAAGTAGCTTACAGACGTCACGGATTGTTTTATGAGGATTATGGGTCCTAATGTGACCCATGAAAACATTGTTCCTGGGCGAGAAACCATGAAAACCTGGACGAGCCCATTGTTCTAGATGGAGGGTGGTCATAATGTAATGGCTCTTCGGTGTATATATATATATATAACAAACACTAAAAAAAGGAGAAAAAAAGGGATTTTGAATAGAGGAAGAAGAAAAGATTAATTAAAAATTAGCAACAAAAAAATATAACCTCGTTATCAGTTCACACGATATACAGTGCGCCCGCTAAAATACGTTATAAACCCAATAATATTTGAAGGGCAAGAGCTATAGACAGGAAAGTATGGCCAGGGGCCAGAACTCACCACATGAAGATGATTGCACTTTGATTTACTTCTATACCAACCAACCATGCAATATTTTTGTGTATCATTTTATTTGCAGTTAGTTAAAAAGATTTTCAATTCAGTAGAATTCTTTGGTTTAATGCACTGTTAAAGCTCCTTTGTTATACCTACTACATATTTAAAGTATGAATTTTTTTTTAAGAAGTGAAACATAACTGATCTGAAATATAGTGTTGCTTGGATGCATAGCTAGTGAAATATAGTGTTGCTCTAGCTTCATATTCACATATTTCATTCGAAGCCTCTGACACGAGTTTGACTCACCTTTTAGTTATTTTGGCATTTCTCAAATGCGCGTAGAGTCAGAATTAATGTGTGATTTAATACTATTTTCACTTAAGTAGTGCAACATTTGGGAAGGATACACAACTGAAAATTTCAAATTAATAATTTCTAATTAATAATAATAATTAATAATTAATAATTAATAATTTCTAATTAATAATTTCTAATTAATAATAATAATTAATAATTTCTGATTAATAATAATAATTAATAATTTCTAATTAATAATTTCTAAACTATTCAGATGTTAAAAGTTTATCTTCGGCATTAGGAAACTTCTAGCAATATTTTTCTTCGCGCCAGTTGCTTTAAGATCCCACTCAGATATAACTTAATGATTGGGTTAACAACAGTCTGGAATGGGACAGGATTGTGGTTTTTCCAGTCTTCTGAACTGTGCCAAAACGTCATATATAATGCCTAATAGATATATATCGATTAATCTATGCAAACATGAAGCTAGCGATGGATATATTCTTTCAACACTAAAGGCAGGACCAGTTATGCTTCATTTCTTCAAAAAATTTAATTATGAATGTCTAATAGTTATAAAAAAGGAACCTTAACAAGGCAGTAAGTCAAAAAATTCTACTTCGTTGAAAATCCGTTTTATTTTAACTAACTGTATTGTTTTTATTTTGTAATTATTTAAGTTTCAATTAATTTTAATTATAAGAATGTAGCGAAATTACATTGTAATTCTTATTAATTTTATGTATTTCTAGCAGAGATTGCATCTCTCTTGACTATAAAGACCATATTTTCCAGATTATTGCTACCCCCTTATGTTTTGAGGTCAGAAATCCGAATCAGTAGAAAATGAAGTACATTTATTCAGAGAAAGTGTGTTTTTGTGTCTGATTTCGTAACTTAAAATAATATCGTCTACTCTAATTAATCAATATATTTGAGGTTACTTCCTCGAACCATTAAGAAGGAGTCCTAGAACGTGAAGATTCCATTATTAGATCAAAAGTTATTCAAAGTGGCCCTTTTTTTATGTATTGAACTTCACTTCCTTTTTGAGTAAAATGCTTTTGACAATTTTACAAAAAATTTGACCAATTAAAATATTTTTAAAGATTTCTGCTATATATTCTTCATCAACTTCCTTCATTTTTCAGTAAAAATAACCGCTTCTTCTATTTTTTTTAAATAAAACTTCGTACATTGCGACACTGGAATGTGAAACATCAAATTCCATGTAATTCCAATGCGTTTCTAAAAGGGCTTTAAGTAGTGCTTTGTTTAATACACAATAAATTTGATGCTACAATTTTTTCTATACTTCAGCTTTTACAAGTTTAATTTGAGACATAATTTTCTATTTAATTTGAGACAATTTCTATATATAAGATAAGTTATTGTTCAGATAAAAAGCTTTAATGATTTTAACAGCCGTTAGTTTAGAAACATGAATGTAATTATATTCCTTATTAGTAGTTATTTTTTCTTATATTTTAGAATAATCAAATGCTTTGAGACTTTTTTCAACTTTTTAACTTTAATTAAATATTCATTCATTTTTATTTGAAATGTAGAATTTCGTGAGCTTCTAATTAACTAAATTTCTAAATAGAGAATAAATGCTGAACTATAACACAAAAATATGTTTTGTCAGCTTATGTTTTCAAAAATTAACTTAATATTGACTAATTTAACTTTAATATTAGATGAACTTAATAAAACTTGAATTATCTCTAAGAAATTTAAAAAATTGAACTAGTTTGAAAGAAATAGTTCCGATATTTTTAAATATGTGGCTAGAAATTAAAATCGTTCCAATTTATAAATGTTTACCTCGTATATTGCAAATGATAAAAATAGCAGACATAAAATTTAAATGCAATAACAATTATAATAACAATGTTGATTTCAAATTACCTGCACTTTTGCCAGATTTAACATCTTCTTTAATTTCTTCAGAAATATTTTCATTTTCTGTTTTGTTCCTTTTTCTTTTTGATTTTGTTAAGATTTCAGAGTATTGAATTTTTTCCGATTCCTCTGTTTCATGCAGTTTATGAAGAAGCTGACGACGTGATATCTTTTCATCAGATTCTCTGGATGTAGAATTTAAGCAATAGTTATTTAATAAGCCACCTTTCTCAATTTCAGAGCAATTTGTTGCTAAGCACATATCATCTGTAAAATAATAACGAAAAGTATAAGATATTGCTCTATGATGTACATGGTGATTTTAATGACCTTATTTAAAACATATATTAATACAATCCTTATCAAAATGAATTAAAAAAAATGTTCAATTCAAGGGTCATAAGTTAACATTCAAGCAATCCAAATTGCTATTTTATTTATTTTATAACCGTCGTTAAACAGTCGACCTAATTTAGAGTTTACGACTACCAATGTTTAACTCCGTAGCCTTGTAATTTTGAGCCCAATCCAAAAGACAAGCGAACTCCAGGATCAGGAATTGGAAGACACCACTGCTCAACAAATTCCTATTGTGGAGGGTGGGACTAAAAGTATCAAAATTCATTTGTCGGCTGAATGGAATAGAGAATAGTTGAAGTTTTATTATTAGAAATACATCCATATCAATAAGAAAACTGGCTTTGCTATTTTTACAACCTGCTTACTTCAATAATGATTTAACAGATTTCGATAGCAATTTTGGTTTTTATTCTTGTTCAAATATTAATAATCGTTTTTTGATAATTACATTTTAGACAAAAAATTGTAAAAATATGAGGAACGGTAATGATAAAAATCCTATATACCTCCTGTAAATCTGCTAATAATTTAAAAATTGGTAAGAATTTTAGGAAATTTTATGTTTGAACACGGTCAGTGCGAAATTTATTTTCTTGCCAGGGAAATTTTCTTCTTCTCTCAAACGCAATTATTGAAAACATTCAGATTACAGAAATATTAAACGCAGGGTGTGTGGTCAATAGAAAATTTTGGATATTTTTGATACTTTCAGTCAAGCAAAGCTTTATTTGGGATGTTGATATTTGCAGACAAAAAGCATTTCGTCGGATGCACCAATGTCTATTAGATCAACGGTTCTCAAATGGTGTACCACGGAACCCGAGGGTTCCATGGAAGGGTCTTACAGGGGTTCCGACTTCTGTTTAAAAAATTAATAATGGTTTTGAAACCTGAAATTATATTCATGCCCAATTTTTATTTATTTAACATTTCGGTTATTTTTTTAAAAAATTCTTTATGATAAATATCACACGGATAAAAAAAAATCTAGAGAAAATACCGTACTGTGTGGTAATCGCATTTTTGGTAAAAATGAGCATAATTTTGATTAAAAAATCCAAAATATACGGTATTTAAGCCGTTTATTTAATAATTTCATTCATATGGTAACTGTTTGCCATTCTAATTACGGCTTAGGTTCTTATTACCATACATTTAGCCAAATAAGCGATTTTTAACTCATGATATGAAGTATCATGATAAAATTACCCAATTTGCCAAATTTTATCACATATTATGAAGTTAATTTAGTTGTTAATTTCACCAAAATCATTACCGAAGCGTTTCAGTAAAAATTATCGAGCCGTATGTTTCCGAAGAGAAAGAAAGACGGTAAATTTAACCATATTCTGGTAGTTATAGCCATACTTTTTTTTCAATGTAACAAAAAAATATATTAACAGAAAAATAAATAATACTTGCATTAGTATTTTTCTTAAATTTTTCACTCAAAAAAAAAATAACCTATATCAGAAGGAAAAAGTTTCCATTAAAGTTTTTGTTTACGTTTCAAAACTGTTATTCAGTTTATTCATTTTAAGCTAATGCTTACACCAAAGACAAATTCTGAACTGGAAAACATGCTACTCCAAACCTATGAATTCAACTGTCTGACATAACACCTAATTTCAATTTTGAGGGCCGATGATTTAGGGTTCCATAGCAGAAAAAATTGTGAACCGCTGTACTAGGTAATAAAAATGATGCCGTAAAATGAGGTAGTTTTGCGCCAAAAAAAGTTTCATTTTAAAAATTAAATGCATTGAATGGCAGCTAAAATAAAGAGAACAGATTGAGAATATTTTGCCAGAGTCAGTAACAGTATAAATTGTAAGACAGTTGTCATTTTTGTTATTACCGATCCGTACTGATCTACAAAAATCGTCCTCTGATTGTATTTCTTTGGCTGTTTACACAGAACACTTTCTTATCTCACTTGGAGAACATATTTGTAGTATTATTACCAGAAAGATACTCAGATTGCTAGTACTCAGTTGATACTCAGATTGCTCAAAGTAAACACATATGCAAATATGGTCAAGTCAAGGTACTCAAAAATATTGCCCTTTGGGTGATGACTGTCTGTCAGTATTGGGTTATGTGCTGATTAATGATGAGATCAGTGTAGACAAAACCGATAGGAATAATGTTTGTTCTGACTTTACAAAATCAGTGGAAGTGGTTAAGATAAATAAAACAGCACATTATTAGTTCCTTCTTGACGAAGCACTCGGAACTAATAATGAGCTATGTTGTTGTTCAGAGTTTCAGCAAACTGCACCCGATGCTTGCAGAGGAGAGACACCATTTGCTTCTAAGACCAAAGAACGGTATTATAATGGAAGTAGACAGTACAGGAAAAATAAAAGAAAGTTTACTGTTCCAAATTAAACATCTAACAATTTTTCGGAGTTGATTTTAATGTTTGGTTACCAGTAAAAACAATATAATTAATAAAAATATAGATATAATGAGAATAATAATAGAATTAATAATTAAGATAAAAAGAAAAAGTGAATTATTAAAAAAATTGAATTATTCATAAATCTAATAATAAATCTAATACTTTTGTTTTTCATTTTTTTGGAATGTTTTTATACTAGAAGTTTGTATCTAGAAATCTTTCTGAGATAATTTTTAAAAAAAAATTGTGTATATTTGATGTTAAGAGGACTTTAAATATATAGAATAGTGTTCTAGTCAGTTTTAAATAATAATAATAAAAAAAATCGGTTTCACAAAGTTACCTCACCCAAGATTATGATTTCGTGCTCAAAAAGAGCATTTTATTATAAGTTTTCCATTACATAAAAATCAAATTTCACCTGCTACATTAAAAATAATGTGCACATATTTTTTGGAAAATGGTCAAATTTCCACTTTGTAATTTAACCCCTTAACGATCGGTTAATTTCCAAGAAAACGGTCTTAAAAGTGCCTATTTTTTTTATCCCTGTATCCCTGATTAGTGCTGACATCTAGTTTAAAATAAACTAACCATCTACAATTACCTTAAAAATTTCCTGGTACTGCCATCTGGTGTGTAAAATGAGAAAGAAAATGTTTTCCGAGCAAAAGACATGAATTAGTTTTGTACTTATTGGCGCGTTACTACTGAACACTCCAGCCCGGAAATATCACGGGAGCGAAAAATAGAGGGCGAAACTTCACCCTGTCATTTTCACGGAAGCGAGAAGGAAGGGGATAAAAGAGGTCTAATCCAAAAAATCCACGAAAATTGGGAGAAAAGTCACATCGCTTTACTGTATAAGCACTCATAGACGAAGAAAAAGAATTAGAGAATTTTTCGGAAAAAAAACATTGACAAAATTCTTCAGTATCTTAAATAATATAGCAGAATTAAGGTCAGATTGGTAAACTTATGGCTCTTACCTTTAGTTTTTTTCCTGTCAGACATTTCCAAAACAGCTATATCATTTTCAGAGAGAGCTGAACTTCCTTCCCTCATTCTATTTATTTTGTCATATAAATCCAGACGAAATAGGTCAAATTTTGAATAGTTTTCCGATTTTGAATTACCTGTAGAATTTGATTTACGCGTTTTTCTTAGACTGTCATGCAAATCATTTAAACTAACAGGTGAAGGTGACTCTCTCATTTGATCTGGATAATTTAACTTTTCTCCAGGTGGTGATGGAGCTCGTTTTCTTCTTTGTTTAACATTACGAGGAGGAGGTAAAGGAGGAGCTAATTTAGCTTCTAGCATAGCAGCACCTAGATTTGAGCCATGGATTGATTCAAATTTTTTTGTCATAGCTGGTGTGCTGCCTTTGCGAGAAAACTTTTTGAACGAAGATTTTCTTTTACCTACATCACACACATCGGATACCCATGTTCGGATACCATGTTCTTCATCGTCTTCAGGAATTACAAGAAGAGTTGGTCTGTACCGGAAATTGTTTAGCCGGTTTTTTGCAGCTGCAATCATGCCACGAATTCTAACAAAAAAATCATTTGATGGGGACTGAGGCAGTGTTTCTTCTGTATTTAACGTTCCCTCTGAGTAATCGTTGGTAGAATTTTTACTACTTCTTTTTTTGCCATTGAATTTGCCACATGACGAGGAATCTGATTGATGAGAATGTATTTCCAAGCAATTTACATCCTGGTCATCCAATGTGCGCCGAGAACCCTTAAACAAATAACAAAGAAACATTAACATTATCAGTCTATTATTAAACATATAATGATTCACGTGAGAGTTAATATTTTGAATATGATATTTATATGCGAATCAATGCAACTAATGCCCTTCAAATATTATGAGGAGACTATTTTCTCTACACAGGCCCAAATTCGCTTTACAGTGCTTTGACAGCACTAAAAATGGATGAAAACTCAAGAGGCCACTTTAAGCATCTTCGTCTTATTTATTAAATTTACTTTTCAGAAATAAAATTTCAGATAAGAGAAACTGTTAAAAAACAGTTAAATAGAATATGAAAATAATAAAGAAGCTGATGTATCATTTGACCTCAGCTTATTTTCATTATTTTATTGAATTATAGCTCACCTTCAATCCACATTTTGAACTCTTTGTTGTTAATTCAGCTTCTTGCACCAAATTATTAATATAGGCATTTCTAAGCTGAAATATTTAAACATTGTCAGAAAATTTGCAATTCAAGAATATATCTTAATTAGAAACATTATTTTTTTATTAACTTGTACTAAAAAAATTATTATTAACTCCTTTTTACTTATTTATAATAATGCAATTGGTGGCATTTGTCCGTATGAAGATATTGAAGCTCTTCTCGAATAGGTTTTGTTCGATACTTTCGCACAATCATATGGCTTTAAACTTAAGCTATGCAGGGGGGTGAGCTGTAATCACCACCCTTAATATATATTTATAGAATCCTTTTCAAATGTGACATTTAATGCTTATTAGAAGTCGTACATTATAGTCGCATAAGCGAGGAGAAAATATACTGCCCAAATGCAACTAATCACTACTGAGCAAGGGGGGGGATTAAAAGAAACCAAAACAAGCACAGAGCGCAAAGAAAAAAAAAAGCGAAACACCGTGAAAAAGTTAGATTTAATGATTAGATTTTTACGTACTAGGACTTAATCTTACTGATTCGAGGAAATTACCTCAATTATGCTAATTAATTAGTTAAGACGATATTTAAAATTGCAAAATCAGACACAAAAATGTATATTCTCTGAATAAACGTACCTTTACGATAAATTTGGATTTTTGATCCTCAAAAGATGGGGGATAGCCACAATTTGGGAAATAGGGTCCATAGTTTCATCAGGAGAGTGGTCCAAAGTTCGGACCTCTCCATGTTAATTTTACTATTTGCGTAATTCTCCCTATCTCGAGAATATTTAAGCGAATTGAAAAGTTCATCACGTCGTTATGAAAGTCACTTATTTAAAGATATATCAATGCAAAAATAATTCCTTTATTACTTTTAATTTTTTTTCAAAAATTGTCGAAAACTTTTTAATTGTACAGGATAAAAGTTAATTAAAAATGAAATTTTATAAGGCAAAATACAAAATTTGACCAAAATCAGCTGAAAGTTGCATATTTAAAGTTTAATTTCTCAGGAACTGTTCGACTGATATCACTGAAATTTTGTATTTTGCCTTTAAAATTACATTCTTTAAAAGGATGTAAAAATATGTATACCTACAACTCAAAACCTTTAAATACAATTATTAAATAAAATAATAAATAGCTAGGAAAAGTAATTTCACATGGAATTATCTCTGGTTAAACGAAATTTACAAATGTGTGTAAAATGTTTTCCATTAACTTACAAAATTCTCAAAGATACGGCGAGATACAAGAAGTAAAATTAACAAGAAGTCGTTTAAACTTTGGACAAGAAATATGTAGGCCATGTTTCACAGATTGCGATTACCCTTTATATTTTGAGGGTCAGAATCCAAATCTATCGGGGGATAAAAAAGCATGTTTATTCAGAGAAAATATGTTTTTCTTCTGATTTCGTAGCTTTTAAATATCGTCCACATTAATTAATTGGCATATTTGAGTTCACCTCCTGGAACGATTAAGATTGAGTTCTATTGTGTGAAAACCGATAATTTGATCAAAGTTATTCAGGGTGATTTTTTGCGCACTTTGCAATTTCTAGAAGAAACTGATTATTTTATTAGAGAGAATGTCAAGTTTTATCAGGCAATCAAAATGATGCTTTTTTAATCACTTCTTTTTCACTGGAGAATCGACAAAACGTTTTTGTTTATTTCCTGAGAAATATTAATTTAGGATCCCTAAATTGTTTAAAAACTCCCTTGTGATAGCGGAACATCTTGTATATCTTCGCATATTCAGAGGGATTATCATATTTTATTAATCGCATCAATTTCTTTAATAATTTCTTAGAGCAGCATAGAAATTATTGTCAAATTAAGTTCTTATGACGACTTGGATTTCATAGCAAAGAAAATATGTGTACTCATAATTCACTGATATTGCACTGCGATTTTTACGTATTATGTAATGATTCACTCATATGTTGATTTTCTTGCCTTATTATTTTTTTTAGCTGTTTAATGAAGATACTTGGCCGGGAGAGCCTGGTCGGTAGGGCGCTGGGCGCATGTCCGAGAGTTCGTGGGTTCGAACCCCGCCAGCCGAAGACTCCCCTTGCAGTAAATGGTGACTGATGCACGCTAAATCTGTCGAGTCGCAAAGTCCTCCATGTTCCCATAACAAATCAATACCTCTGGGGATACTGGAGTGGAGATTGAACGTTCTCTGATTCAGGTCAAAATTACGATTTGTAGATGAATTAATGGATGTATGAATGGGTCCGACCTATAAACGGGTGTGACGTATGGGCGTGGCAGAAGTCGAATTCTCGGCCACAGAGGGCGCCACTGGAAAAGCAAGAACAATCGCACCCCTCTGCTTTAACAGGCATACGTCAACAACAATGAAGATACTTAATTCTGTATTTAGCAGGATATGAAATACTATTGGTAAAGGTATTTAAGCTTAAACATTCTATTTGTATATTGTTTCGTACATTGAAATTTTAATTCTTATTTTATGTTACCTCTGCTGAATTTAACTCTTCGTCTGTAACTTCAATAGAGCTACGAGACAAGCCTTGTCTTGATGATTCATGCAGTCTTCTATTTTTCCTGCTTTTCATGTAAATTAAAACAGCTCCAACATATATAAGACCCAAAATTCCTATTGCCACTGCGATAATGATGTAGTTATTCTTGTTTGATCCTTGCTCTTTTTCTGGATCCAAACCTGCAAGTGAAAGTTTCAAGTTAATATATATTTTTTCTTTTAAATAAAATAGACTATTTTCCAAATTTTTTTGAAAGAAAATTCAACTGTAATTTCTGACAAACAATCAAGGTGTTTAGCTTTAAACAAAGCTATCATTAGTTTTCTAGATTTTTATGTGGGTTGCCAATGCAGCTCTAGTGCGACGTAAATGAACTACAACAACGATATCGGTCGCCAAGAGATAATATAGCTAAATATCCGGCATCAAACTCATATGTTTGTGATAAAGATATTTTTTTCTGCAAAACCATTGAAAATTAAAAATTAATGTAAAAATATATCAGTAATGTTCATTATTTATTTACCTTTAAATGTCTTTATTCATTTCATAAAAAAAGTGGCACTAATAGTGTCACACATTACTGGTATGCACATTCCTATTGTATTTTTTCAAAGAATTTTCAGGAATTGTTATATGCTTATTTGGTAATTATTGTTTATAGATAAAATTTAATACTATATTTTATTAAATAAAAAAATGGCTGAAAGAATTATAAAAAACAAACAGCAATAAAATTGTTCTTCAGAACTATGATTTATTTTGTCATTTATTTAGTAAATTTAACAGCTTGATGTCTATGCCTTTTACCAAATAGCATAGCAATAATCTGTTTACACTTCTATGGTTTATTTAAAATGGCAGTTTAATTAATAGGTTGAGAGGAGCTAGGTGACGGTTAATTATTTATTTTCTTATTATATTTCTCAACTATAATGGAGATAAAATGGATCTACCTGATGCTTTCAAACGTTTTAAAGATACTTAAACTTGGATAGATCAAGCTATGATGTTTATTTTCTTGCATCTTTTATTGGGGTAGTGGGATTTATTTATTTATTCACACCCATATGTGGCTTTCTTTGAAGTACGAAGAAATGTCTTGAAACTCTTTTAAATTTAAAAAATAGATAGCACAAGTTTGAGAAAAATAGCGGGAATATACATCCTGCGTTTTAGCGGGATTCAACCCCACTACATCCACGTATTAGCGCGGTTAACGAAACAGCTGCACCGCATATGAAAGAAGGCCCTTAGAATTTATTGCAAGTAAAACAACCATAAATTATTGGGGCCTCTTTTGCCAAGCAGTGTCTTTCTGCTAAATTCTCTGAAGTGTGGAGGTAGTGGGTTCGGTATCTTTGTGTTGTCTTTCTCAATTTTCTGCTGTCTATTTCTTAATTTGATAACATACAAATAATTTTTTGTATTAATACATAAAAACTCAGATATATCCAATAAACTTATTTATTCTTTGTCGCACATTCGGAGCTACGATTGGGTTCGAACCCGCTACCTCCATTTTAAATAGCGTTCGGCAAAAGGCCGAAACTGCTCAAACGAGGAGGTCACCGTAAAACGAATAAGTAAAAGAAACATCACTATTCATAGTATTTATATTTTTATTGTTACACATACATATTCAGGCTTGTGTGCTCATTACACATTGCAAAGTACGATTTATTATAGCTCCATGTCAAGTTGAAGAACAGATCGCACAAGGACATTACAAGGATCCCCCTATTGTAACATGGAGGCAGCGGGTTCAAATCTCGCCGTATCTCGGGATATATTTTATGTCCTCCATCTTGTGCTGTCTGTTCTCTGACTTGACAAGGACTTATATGCAGAACTTTATAAATAATACGTGACTCTGTTTAAACTATTTATAAATTTTAAGTAAATATATGAATCCAGGGTTGTGGTGGGATTCGATCTCAAGATTCCTATGTTTCCATTTTAGGATGTTGAGATGGCCTTATGCGTAACAGTTAAGTCACTGATTTTGTTCAGACTTGTCCGGGTAATTACATTTATACAAACACTTATTAAAGTTTCAAAATTTACAGTTTTAAAAGTTGGTAAACATTTGCTAATAGCTTACATTAAAACGAAGGCAACTAACAGATCAGCGCAAAGTTAACAAGTGGTTACTAAATAAAGTAAAGGTTAACAAACTGAAGATTTGCCTTACCTCAAATTAGACAAGCATTGCTAAAATTATCAACTATTGTGTCATAATTATCGAATTTGACCTCTTTTGCAACCAAGCAGCATGATAATAAAAACCTATTTTATGGTTAATTTTATTAAAAGTCATTACCAAAGCACTAGGATAAAATTACTCCACTTTTTGGTGTTCCCATAAAGCCGACAATTAAGGTAAATTTTACCATATTTTATTAGTTTTAACCATACTTTTTTTCAGCGCAGGAGCATTGTAAATGAAATTTCCACTCTTATTCTACTTTCTACAGATAGTAAATTTTCCCTAATGTATTCAAATATTTTATTTGATAATTTTTATGTTCATCATGGTAATGATAAATCAAAAATTCTGATTTTCAAAATTGTAGGTCTTATTACCCATTCAGTTCATCAAAATACAACACTCAAGAGTATAGAATAGAATTTAACCAAAAAAAAATGGTTTTCACGCCACACTCTGCTCATACTCATTTGTTTTATGAGATAATATATATTTTTAATAAAAATTATTATTTCCTGCTCAATACTGTAATTTTTAAATTTACCAAATTTGCTACTGAGCAGCATGATAATTAAAGCAATTTTTAATGGTTATTTTAATCTAAGTAATTACCAAAGTACTACGATAAAAATAACCACACTTTTTGATGTTCCCATTGAACCAAGAAACATCATAAATTTTATCACGTTCTGATAGTTTTGACCATGCTTTTTTTTTCAAAGTCGAAAGAGCATTCACTCAACATTAGTTGATTGTTGAGTGTTTGATTCAATAAATCAGAGTAGATTGGCGTATGAGAAACATAGCTATAACATGAACACCCAACTCAAGTGCTATAAAAAGACGTTATTACTCTATGCTTACTTCTCACAATATTGCAAATATTTTTAATGATAGAAGTTTATATAAGTCTACCATCTATCTGCACATGTTATAGAAAGCGTAAGCATATTCTTACTCATTGCATAAAATACATGTAGTGTTGAGTGCACGTAGGTTTTAATTGAAATTTTGTTAATTTGTGTAAATTTAAGTTGGCAGTAGAAAATCAGGATTAAGAATTTTCTTTATTTCTTATCCGCTAGTTTCCCCAAATGGCGAAAACTATAAATTCCTAATATTGGTATTTGCAGTTCACGCTCTAGAGCTTGCAATATTGGCAGTTTAGTTTGCTGCAAAAAAAAGAAAATAAATAAATAAATAAGAATGAAAATCTAAGGTTAATCGTCAATTGCTTATACTTCTACTTCGGAAACACTGAAAGATTGCTTTCGGCTCAGCTCTGCGAAGTTTAAAAACTTGCAAAATTTATTTTTTCGTATTTAAAGGAATCAAGAATAAGATCTTAAGAAAATTCGAATTCTTCCTCCTGTTACTAAAATGCTTAGTCGAAAAGCTCATAAATGAAAATATTCATGATTTAAAATGTTTTTCTATCTTCAGAAAGGTAATTAAAATTTTATTTTTCATTATTTTATGAAATATAATTAGAAGTTGTTTCACAGAATCGTTAACAGTGATGGAAAATTAAGAACAGAGGAATGACACGTTTAATATTAAATTAAACCCAACAAACTGAAGCAATAAGATATACTTGATGATGTAAAAACTTCATTTACTTCAAATAATGAAGTTTTTACATCTTCATCATGAAGGTAGAAAAAGTCGTCTTATTTCATGCACTCAAAAAATGAGTCATGCTGTGGAGTGATCGTTAAGACACGGTTCCCAGCACATAACCGAAGTCAAGCATCACTGGCTGCGGTCAGTGTGCGGGTGGGTGACCACTTGGATCAGTCTGCGTAGGGATCGAGGGTGTGCGGTATTGGTCCTCGTTAAACTGTTCTACCGTAAAGTGCTCGACTTCGCGTGCAGGTCGTCGGGCTACAGAAGCGGAGGTGCCATCCCCTCTGCAGGGGATCAAAATTGTGATGGCATGTCTTCGGATCATCCCCAGGAATGTTTCCCAGACCGTCGCAAATAGCCCATTGTGCAGCTCTAGTGCGACGTAAATGAACTACATCAACAACACTAAAAAAAAGATGCAAAAGAGATTTGAAAGCATAAAGTTGCCAATGAAAAACTGGAAAATAAGTAAATGTTTCGCATTTATTCGTGCATTATAATCTCTCTTATTTTCCTCATTCATGTCAGTCGAGTCTTGAGAAAGTGCGATTATTTTTGAGAGCGCAAAACATGTCAACTTTTTCAAACTTTTCATTTCAGAAGCAAATGAAATTTTCATATTATCAAGGCACGTTTACTAGTTCACGTGAACATGGTTTTATTTGTCTTAAAATATAACGTTTTTAAATTTGGGTTTCATCACTTCTTTATGAATTTCAAATTTAAGAAAACAAGATTTTATTTTAAGAATACAAAAAAAAATTATTTTATTTTTTAATGTTAGTTAAAAAGTGCATGAAAGGAGATATCTTACCAGGTGCCCAACCAATCCGTAATGCCACACAAGGTTCGATATAAAACAGAGTTCCATTTGTAGTCTCACTCTCACAAACCATTCGAATTAAAACCAAATGATGTTCAAGTTTTCGCCGTTCGTCATCATCGCCAAGCCACTGCAGGAATGTTTTATTCCCATCAATGTAAACACCAAATATGTTTGAAGATGTCCGTATCTCCTCCCATCCATTTGTAGTCATCAATAAGGAAGCTTTAACGTTGCAAAGGAACTGTTTATTTGATATTCCTGTAAACAGCTTCATGTCAGCATAAAGTTCTGAATATTGATTAGTTACAGAATATATAGATTTAACTTAACTGAGGTCTGATTTAAGAAAAAAATAATATAAAACAAAATAGCACATGAAACATTTTCAGACTGATTAAATATAATGAATAATGCGATGATGTTGATCGGTTTTTAAATCTATTTGAAATAATCCTTAATACATGATGTAATGAAGGAGATTTTCAGATCTATTTTTAGCTTAACGTTTTTGATTTTAATGAAATTCAAGACACAGGTACTTAAGAGCCAGGTTTTCAAGAGCTAGGCAGGGATGGAAGCTTGACATTTTTGATGATTTTGTTGAAATTTTAAGGATATGTTCTTTATGTAAAACTATTAGACACATGTTGTTCTTTTTTAAATATTTTTTTTAAATATTGGTATGGTTAAAACTTCAAATCCTCAGAAATTGACAATACTTTTTGTGAAACATGTGAATCGTGTCACTGATAATTATTTTATGTTCTACTATCTACTACATTAACACTAACTAATATGACATAAATGTTTTCAGTAAACATTTGCATCGAAGGTCAGAAACCATTCCAAAATATTCAAAGAAAGCTATTTTCTTTAATTATGCTAGTCAAAATTTATTCGTACTAACAGTGAATCACAAAGGATCATATTACGTATTAAGAATCATATTTTTGTATGTATGTCAGTGATTAGTACCTAAAAGAATAAACATATATGTGATGTATAATTAGCTTAACCTTAAAACTGACTCCAAAGTAGCAAGAAAATGCAATTTAAAGGTAATTAACTGCCTACGCCCAAAATGGCTCTAAATTTGAGATTCGTTCTTGAGTTCTGTTTGTTCTTGAACACAGTGGGAATGCTGCAAATTTTTTCAAAAATTGTGATTTAGGCCTGTTCGTTCACCAGGAGTTGGCATTTGGCTCCGCCTTCATCACGTGGTATCCGGCGATACTATTTCGCTATTTTTGGGAGAAGGATGTGAACAACCTTTAACAAGGTTGCTATTTGGTGACCGTATGACAAAAATATTTATTTCGCAATCTTAATGTGCATTTTTTGACATTAAATATTTCATAAATTTGATGATATTTCTCTCATTTGAGTGAATAGTTGTCCTTTTTGAGACATTTTGCTGCCATATATTTAATTAGCTAGAGTAACGAAGAATATAGAAGATGAAAAAGCGCAAAATAAGTGGCTGAAAAGAATTCACTGTTTGCGTTTGGGGCGCATTAAGGGTTGTCTTAATTTCAGGCGGGGAGACATTTCTCCTCTTACTCCCGCGTTGAAATGAACTCTTCGTATGAGGAGGTGGAGCCACCTTCCAACTCCTGGTGAACAAACTACATCTGAAGTTGACACCTTTCCGCGAGATGAGCTGTAGTCTCAATTTAGAATATACCGAGGGAGCAAAAGGGAGACTTACACTTCGAATTTGTTCGCTGTTGTTTGTTGCTTGCAATTGTTTCGAAGTATTTTTTAGGCTGGATTGAACAAAACCTTACCCTTGATGATACAACTAATAGATCTGAAGTTATAAAAGCTTTTATAGATAAAAAGCATTGTACATTGCCGTGCAGACGAAGTTTAAGATCCTATGGATTTTTTAGAATTAATCAAATTAGATAAAATCAAGTCAAATGAAATCAAAATCATTTTATTATTAAAAGTTTCCGAAATATTTCTTATTTTGAACATATTAATTACTTTGAACATATTAATTATTTTGAACATATTAATTATTTTGAACATATTAATTATTTTGAAATAACAACTTAATTTACTAGATCAGAACATCAATTACTCGTCGAAGCTATGTTTATCTTATGTACCTTTTATCTTTTCTTGTGTTATGGAACAGATAGTTTTGCAATTTCTCCTTGTACTTTTTTTTTTCTTGCTTGTGTGTTTGCTCAATGGTAGTGACACCGATGAACACTGAATCCAGTAAAGATTCAATCAACTTGATAGAACTATTAGTAATAATTCAAAAATTGAAGAATAAAATGCGTACATTAACGTGATTGATATTCCCATACAGACAAGCATTGTATTTACTCAACTCTCAACTCTCTTGTTGTTTTCTCTAACTCAAATGAAATCCAAACCAACTTAATAGAATTAATAATTTTAATGTTATATAATGATTCAATTTATAAAAAGTACAGTTTTTGACTATTTAGGCATCTAATTTCCATCTAGGTAATCCAAAACTGTACAAGATATCCAAGTACTTACATCAAAAATGTTGGTGTAAGCCAAAATTTATGCTGTTTTAAAATAAATTCAAAATCACTTCTAAACTGCTCATCTTATCAGCTTAAGTCTTAATTCGATTCAGTGTAAAAAATACACCAAAACAATATGCCACTTGTCTAAATACCAGAGTGTCCATTCTTCCTCAATAAGTTATTTTTTAAAACAATTTACAGCATTTCCATAAATATTTCAATAGTTAATTATTCAGGTGCTGGACTCAAAATTTAGGGCCATATTATAAAAGAGTTTAAAAGTAACCATACGTCTGTTCATTGATTTTGTTTCTGATATACTTAAGACTTCTTTTTCGGAGAGTTTCTTAGTTATCTAGCTTTGGGAAAGGTAGTTAATGACCTTGAAATTTCATCAAAATTTCCTTTTCTTGCTACATTAAAGTCAATTTTAAGGTCACGCATATATATAGCCATATTTTTAGGTACTAATTGCTATGTATTCACAGAAATATATTCTTTGTGGTGGACTGCTGGTACAAGTTGATTTTGATGGTCAAAAAATAAGGCAATAACTTTTATTTTGAACCATTGATCTTCCATGCAAAGGTCCACTAAAAGTATATATTTCTTAATAATTTGTGTGAACGCAATAGAACATAAAAAATAATGGCCAATACCGTGATTTACTCGTTTCACAAAAATTATTTACTTTTGAAATGTGAATCGATGTTGTTTGTAAATCGATGTGTTTTTCTCAAAAATCAAGAGAATATTTAGTTTTGACCCCCAAAGCGTCAAGAAATTTTTTTTTCCTAGCAAAAATTAAAAATGTAAAGAACATATTTTGTACACGTGTATATATACAAAGAGCATATCCTGGAAATTTTAAGAAAATCAAATTTCTCAAATATCAGGTTTGCTTGATATGCTCGATTGTGTTCTTAAACTGTCTCTTAAGCAAATCAAGTTAAATTCAGATTAAAAGAGATGGTAATACTTCCGAAAATGCGAACTATTATGTGAATAGCAATCACCTATCAAATTTTTACACAAAACTTTCTTTTATTTACTAATTCTACAAATTTTTGCTTATTACAAAGTCATCTCAACTCGAAGGCATTTTTTCAACAGTAAGTGCATAAAAAATATGTTTTAATTAAGTACTTAGTTACTGTTTTTAATTCCAGATTATTTTACAGAATTTAGATTGATAGTTTTGATTTTACAGAACTTAGTTTGATTCAGTTTAGATGCACTAGTGCGCAAAATTTATATTAAAATTTGAAATAGTATAGGAAGAATTTTTGGTACAACTAATATGGAAAACTATCTTATCTATTTTTTGCACTGTGTCTAAAGTGAATAAACGAGGCTTTTTCACCCTAGTTCACTATCTCTTAAGTTTTTTACAAGAATTTAGTTTAAAATTTCGATACAATTTTAACAGAAAATAGTAATAGTTAAACATTTAAAAAAATTAAATAATAATGGAAATGAAAGGTGTTGCTTAACTTATATAATTCAACATTTCAAAGAAAACTGCAAACAAAGAGTTATTGGATGCTGTTTTCCAATAACTTTATGTCATCAAATTTGAAAAGAATCAAGATTTATTCAAACACCATCAGTAGAAAGATTACCCATGTTTACATATTTGAACTTCACTTTATAACTGCTTAATGAAATAAAATCTATGCAAAGCATACTCCGATGAAAAATTACCGATGTTTGTATCTTTGAACTTAATTTTATAGTTGCTTAGTAAAATAAAATCTATGCAAAGCAATCCGATGCAATATTCCCAATGTTTGCATTTTTGAACTTAATTTCATAGTTGCTTAGTGAAATAAAATCGATGCAAAGCATTATCCGATAAAAGATTTCCCATGTTTACATATTTGAACTTAACTTCATAACTGATTAATTAAATAAAATCTATCAACATAATCAGAAGAAAGGGTATCACTGAAAAGATATTTGAATTCAACTTTATAACTGCATAGTAAAATCTATACGAAATATAATGTGATGAATTGTTAACAATACTTACTTATTTGATCCTCTTAAATGCAATATATTGCTTGATTCGAAATATTTTATAGCTTACCTGATGAACTTACCGATGAAAAAATTTCTCAGTCAAAGTTATTAGTTGTTAATAGCAGACTTTCTCAAAATTTAAATATTCTTACTTACCTTGACAGAACCATTAATTCTTCCTGAATTGTTAATAATTGCTAACATAACAGTTTACCTGTAGCAGCGTGTAGTTCTATATACCATGTAATAAATGAGAATGCGTCTTCAATTACATCATCCACATGAGAGATTTAACAATATTAAAAATATGATAAATGCAGTCCTTTTAACCGAATAAAATTTATTATTTTTTACTGCCAATGATTAATCCTTACTGATGTTCTTCCTTAATGAGGTTGTAAGAAAATTCAATAAGTCTACAATGAAATATTGCCCAGAATTTTGGTTTCAAGATTAAGTTAATTTTATATTTACTTTTGTTCATTACCTATGAAAACTTCCATTATTTCTAAGTGCATATTTCATAATAAAGTTTTAAATAACTATTTACATATAAAATTATTAATTTAATAATAAGTTGCATAAAGATTTAGATTTTAATTAATTTTATAAATAAAATTTTAATGTTTGTTTATAGCCACTGGGAAAAACTTTATTATTTGCTTACTTATAAATATTTTTTTTGGTAGAGATTTCATTCATTAAAGGAAAATATAAGGAAAAATGTGAGTGCTAATTTTTTTTAAAGTATTTATTGTATTAAAAAAATTTAGATGATATTAACAGATTTTTACGGAATATGCTGTAAAAAAATTGTTTACCGATAGGAAATGTTTAATGGATTTTAAATAAGATAAATATGTTTTGCAACTAAAAAAATTACCATCAGACTTTATTGTCAAATGAGCTGAAGGGTATACCAGCTGGCCAGACATCGGTAAAAATACTAGTGGCATCTTTTCCACGGAAAATGGTCTGACAAACATTGCCACTGGACATTCTGTAAAAATAAAAGTTTTTAAAATTATAAGATAGATATTACGAATATCCAATTCTTTTATTAAATGTCTAATTAGAGAAGGCTAAATCGCGAGAGAAACTTTTCATGAAAAATTCTGTTTTACATCTATTGACACTTTAAAAATAACAGTTTAGAGAAAAATGAGTTCAGGTTAATTAAGAATAGCTGCTGAAAACTGTTTTCAAAATATCAAAAACCAAACAAATTAGATAACTTCCACGCTGCGTAATGATATGTAACCTTGCTATTTGTTTTAAAAAAAAAACTCTTTCAGCATTTGAATCTTCATGGTTTATTCTGGAATAACATGAGCTCACTTTTTTAATAAATTTTTTGTTAACTGTCCCTAAATAATGTTAACTACATTTATTTATGATACATTTTCATTCCTACTTTGCTATGCTTTAATTTAATACAAAAAAAGAACAATAATATCTTCAAGAAAGTCCCTGTTTGCAATTTAGCACAGCAAAGTATATGTGATTATACAGTGCGCAAAGAAAGGTTCACCCGAAATAATTTTTGATCTAATAATCTTCACGTTATAGGACTCAATCTTAATGGTTAGAAGGATTGGCCTCAAATATGCCAATTAATTAGTGTAGACGATATTTCAAGTTACGAAATCAGACTCAAAAACGTAATTTTTCTGAATAAACATAGCTTTTTTTCCCTGATGGATTTGGATTTCTGACTCCCAAAATATAGGATGGGGGGGGGGCGCAATTTGGGAAATATTGTTTCAATAGTTTAGTCAGGAGAGCGGTCAAAAATTTAGTCCCTTCGATGCTCATTTTAGTCTTTGCTTGTTTCACTTTATTTCGATAACCTTTTCAGCGAATTGAAAAACTATTGCTGACATTTATAAGAGTCGTTTATCCAAATATAATTCCATGAAAAAAAAAGTTTTCGACTATATTTAATTCATATTATTTATTCAATAATAGTCGAAAAGATTTTGAATTGTTAGGCATAAAATTTTTACATCATTTTGAAGGATGTAATTTTACGGCAAACTGCAAAATTTGAGCGGAATTGGTCCAATAGTTCCTGATAAATTGAATTTTAAGAAAATTGAGAAAATTAAAATCCAAAAAAAAAAAAAGATCTTAAGAAAATTAAAATCCACTTTCCCAGGAAATATTGAACCAAATTTCGCTTAAATTTCTATTTTGTTGAATAAAAAACGATTCTTTAAAATGATATAAAAATTGTATACCTTACAGCTCAAAATTTTCTTGCCTATTATTAAATGAAATAATAAATATTTACTCAAAGCTACTTTTTAGCATTGGAATTATCTGTGAATAGTTCTCAAAGTTCTCGAGATATGGCGAAAGAAACAAAAAGTAAATAAATATTAAGGGTTACAAACTTACGGCTGCTCTCCTGACAAAACTATTGTTGTCATATTTCCCAGATTGTGTCAGAACTTTGATTCCGACGATAAAAATAGATGCTTATTTAGAGAAAGTACGTTCTTGTGGCTTGTAGCTTGAAATATTGTCTGCATTAATTAATTAGAATATTTGAGGCCACCCTCTCAAACCATTAAGATTGAGTCCTAGAACGTGAAGATTTGTTCAAAAGTTATTCAGGGGAGTTCATTTTTTTCTTTTCATTTTTCTTTTTTTTCTTTCTTTTGAGAACAGTACTTGGTGGTGAGAAGGACAAATTTTAGTTACTAATAGTAACCATAATTAAATCGTTTGCAGTAATAACTGTTGCCATTTTTGTAAGGCTTATGTAGAGAAATATTAAAAAATTAGGAATGAATAAGGAATCTGAAAAATAAAATAATCCTAAGACAGACCTATGGGTTATTCCTTTAGAAGCGCATAAGACAATGACCAACAACTCTAATTAAAAGGCATATTAATAATTAAGAGTATTCAAAGTAAGTAGTAGTTGAGATAAAGATGTGGTACAAATTGTGTAAAGTATATAATTAATTGATTTACTGATTTTTCATATAAGTAATTTTGACACATTTAGTAAATAAATAAAAAACTGAAAAGTAAATTTTGCCGAATAAATGATTGCCATGCTATATGCTTTTATGTATGTTAAAATTACAAAATTTCATTTCTAATTTACTACAACCATACGGTAAAAAACATTTATATGGTAGAAAAAAACACACACATTTAATTGTTAATTTTAATAAAATCATTACCAAAGCGTTTCGGTAAAAATTACCGAGATTTTGGTGTTTCTATAGAACAAAAAACACAGTAAATTCTATCATATTCTGGTAATTTTGAGCATACTTTTTTTCCTCAGTGAATAAATGTCTTAAAATGATTTACTTATTTTAAATTTCTCTAGAAGTTTTATCAGAAATCTGTAGTTCGATTTCAGTACTATTGCGTCGATTTAAAAAATGCAGTAAGAGTGTTTTTACGTACAATAGTTGAGAATTATTTTTTCATTGACTACCCCCAAATACATTTCATAAATTATTTTCATGTGTTAGTTGATCTCTGGGGACATAAACTTTTTTGTTTACCAAGAACCACCAGGTGCAGTCACCACCTTTAAAGCATGTTTTTATAAATCTTGTCAAAAATGAAGCAAAAACTCATTAAAGTCACAAATTAAAGGAACCGAAGAAAAAAGAAAAAAGCTGTTTTTAAATTTATCGTGCTATTTAGAAAAACATAATGCTATTATAATATTAACGAAATGTGTAAAAATAGAAAAGAAAAGAGACTTTTTATTTTTCCCCATTTAATTTCCCCAGTTTATTTTATTTAATTCAAAGAAACTTGTCCTTTTTTGAAGAACATTATTCCTTAGTACTTTTTCAGACAGCACCTAAAATCATTCAAAAATATCCAATTCCGTGAGTAAAAATTATCCTTTATAGTTATTTTTAATTTAAAAGTAATACATATGTTTGTAATCTCAATCCAAGGAATTTACACCAGATAATACTTTTTAAATGTTATTTTTTTAATAATATGATTACAAGCCTTTGCTAGTCAAGATGGATTTTAGTTTTAACTAAAAACGTGTGAGCCATTTAACAGTTATGCTATAAAATTAAATGAGTGACTGAGTAATTGAGCGTATGAATAAAAGAAAGGAAACGAAATAGTGAGTGAACAATTCCGTTTAAAATAATTTAAAAATATTATTAAGCTATAATCTGTAGACAGGTAATAGGCAGCCACAAATTTAAATATTTCGAGTTTTATTTTTTTCAAAAAAGTGGAAAATCAGTTCAGTGAACTTTTTGATAAGATCAATAAAAAAATTTGATAAGACCAAAGGTAGCAAATAAAACGTCGCTATAAAACACACTACCTGTTTTTTTCCCTTTGACACTTTTATATTCTTTTTTTCTTCTTCTTTTTACGACAATTTCGGAACTGTGTAAGTTTTGTATTTAAGGCGCGATGTAAACATTAAACGAGTTTTGGTAACACTGCAATTAATTGTCTTTCCTTGTCCAAAACACCTAAGTTGACCTGCTATCTTGACTTTAATGAACTGATATGTAATTCTTGTTTTCTCGGTATAATCAAAGTTCATACTTAAAATTTTCCTCTTTTTAATTTTAATTAAACTAAAACAATTGAAATATATAACTAATATAACCATTCGAATTTCGCACTTGTTTACTACTTAGTAGTCAACTTCCATGTATGATGGGAGAAATTTTCTAATCGTCAGCAAAATTCCGGCGAATGAATAATTTGTACCATCCCAGAGAACAAATATTTCATAATTCGATAAGTGTAAAATACTTGATACTAATTATGAGAATTAAAATGTGGGCAATTTTTTTAGAACAAAGTCTTGAGTATTTCTCTTTCACTGCTAAATATTTTCCGGAAGAAAAAAAAACTTTAAAGTTAGTAGTTATAGGATTAAAAATTTTGGTCTCTTAATAGGCTGTGTGGTATTTATATTTTTCATAAAAAAATTTGTATACACGGAGTAATAAAAGTTTTGAAATGGTCAAATATTTAAAGAAATATGCATGGAATCGAAAAAATAATAATAGATGTATACAACATTTCTTAAAGGCTATCCAATTATACTAAATTCCATCTCCCACTTCCCTCCTTGGGGGAGGGATGGGGCAAATTCGAACTCCTATTTTTTATTGCAACCCTATTTGACCCTATTATTTGACTATCCCTATTTGACCTATGGATTTATGCAGTTTGCTTCACAGGTGGCTTTTTAGAATGCTTCATAGATGTTTGCTTCGTTGATGGCGCTGTTTCCTGTTTAAACAATCTCATTTTTATCTATATTCTTCTCTTAAATCATTTGACAAATCTTAAATCATTTCTTCTCTTGAATCATTGACTAGTTATAGAGGAGAATTGAACAAAACAGGACTAAATTACTACTTCTATATTTATCATGAAAATATAATTGTTGCAGACAGTGGCGATGCTAAAGATGAAGGAAATATTGTGCAGGCCATGCTTTTGTTTGCGCAAATAAATTTATTTGAACAATTTGATTAGAATTTTCTTTATTTTTACTCCACTGATTTTACTCTCTTGTTTCCAATTGCGCGTTATTTTATGGAAATGTACCACTTGATTATACACTTCCTTTAACTTTCATTTTAAATTATTAAGACGGGTGTTGCATCATGCTAATTCTAAATACTTTTTTTATGCTAAATTATATAATCAGATAAAACCGGGACTTAGTCAGTCGAATATAACTAGGCAATAAAATAGGTGAAGTTACGGCTACGCTACAGGTCAACATTTTAAGTAGGTAGACAGTGTAAAGGATGAGCGCGTTGAAACTAAGCAATGATGCGGAAGCGCGATAAAAGTTTTGCGTGTGATTTTTGCTCGTACAATTTTTTTTTATCTAACTTAATTTACTAAAAGTTCTAAAGTTATTAAGATCAGAAATTAAAAATACTGCTTGATCAGTGCAGAAAGGTCCTTGAATTAATTTAATGCTCTAAATAAATATTTCGAAACAAACATATGGTATTGAAATATGGTATACAAAAAAAGTAGGTATATATGCAATGAAACAAAACTTTTTTTCTTCCATTACATCAATACCTACCCGAGTTTATTTGACCAGCTTGATTAAAGCCGGTGCAAGCATTAAAAAAAATTTCCCGCGAATTATAGATTTTTTTAAAATTAAATCTTATGTATACTTAAAGCTAAAGGAGCTAATTTATCCTTCAAATAAAAATTTAGGACAATTGCTGATTAGAAAAACTAAGAGGGTCTTGTCCAACTTTTCCCTAACTATTTAATATAGTTATTACTTAGATCAAAACAAAAATTTATTTTTGAAAATTTCAGATGTAGGGAAAGATTCGATATTACAATAAAGGATCGAAAGTGGGTAACTGCAAACAATAGATTTTAGAAACAAATCATATGGTTGTATTTTTTTTCATGAAGTGGTAAGAGAAATTTGAACTTAAATTCATTTACTAATGATATTGATCATTAGTTTCGAAAATTTAATATTTTTCAAAGTCTACGTTACTAAACTTAGTCTAAGTTAACAACAAAACAAAGTAAACAAAACAAAAGTAAACAAAGTAAACAAAGTCTAAGTTATAAAACTTCTAAAAGTTTTGTTCGAGATTTTACAGATGTGCTTTTATTTGCGATTTACGAAATTTTCAATACCTACTGTAGTTGAGAGAAAATGCCGTTTTTAAACGATTGAGATTTTAAGTAATGAGTCTAAGCTTTTTAACAAGACTGTAATTGTTGTTTGAGAGTTTAATAATGTTTATCCCACAAAATATATGCAAAATATTTATAAGAAATTCTTACCTTCAATATCTTTGATGCACGTCATTAAATCTTCACGAAACACGTAGTGACTTCGGCTACATTGACACGAACAGTCCAAACCAGGAATTTGAGCTGCTCGACGCCCATTGTAAATGCAAAATGATGAAGTTGGATCACAATTTTTGATTGAAAATATATCACCAAAATAATCACGCGTAATTTGTCCTAATTTTTCTGAATTGGTAAATGAATGAAAAGTTAAAAAGCACAGAATTACGGAGGTTTTTAGTTTAATTTTTACCATTATTAAGAATGCAGAGAAAAATGGAATGATAGAAAAAGACATACGAATGCCAATAAACGTATCTTCATTGTAAGAAGGAATTAGTAAAGGAGTTTCATCATATATTTCTGTTTTTAGTTAGATTTATAAAAAATAGTGACATTGCTAACAAAGACAAAGTAGTTTTTAAAAATGTTAGCTATTAAGTGAACGTTAAGATACATTTCTAAGAAAAAGGTAAAGATACGCAGTGAAAGTGAGAAGGGATATAATTAGTTACGTTTGTAAGAAGTGATATTAAATCAATATTTTTTTGTTTTTCACAAACAGATTTTAAAACTGAATGTTTAGCAATAATTGCAAATGAAAAGAATTGTGTTTCAAGTAACTGGTTAAGATGTAAATTCATCTTTATCTTGACATTTCTTCACATTCAAGATTAACCTGAAAAAAGGAAAATATGTTTTAATATCTAAATAAATAAACACCTAAATAATATAATTAATAAGTGCAAACGATGGTTTAAGTTGCAATGTTAGACACAAAAACATGACTTCTTTGAATAAAAATATCTTTCCTTTTTTTCTTTTTCAATGGATTCGAGTGTTTCAAAATATGGATGACAGCCGTAATTTTGAAAATATAATCTCAAAAATAGAGGAGTCATTTTCGAATTTTTTGTCCTTCCATGTCATTCTCATTCTTTACGTTTTTATCTGAATCACTCGAATCGTATCTTTAAAGAAACTGTAATTCTCAGAAACTTGCAAACTGATTTCGTTGACAGTTTGATATTTTTTTTTTCCTATTTGAAATTGAATTGGCTATGAAGGTGTAAAACTTGTTCACTTTACTAATGAAACGCTTTTAATCATTATTAAATTAAATATTAGAAATCAATAAATATTAAAAATCAATAAAATAGTATTAAAAATTACTTATTGTTAAAATTTTTTTAAAGAAGAAATACTAATTTTTAAGGTATAGAGGCGTAATAAAAAACACAAAATGTAAAAAAAAAGAAAAAAAAATAGTTCAGATTTTTACTTTTGACGAGTTTTTTGACTACACAATTACTCCCACATTTTTTTCAGACCACGGAAATCCTTTGAGGTGCCAGAAATCCTTAGAAATTTTTTTTTATTCATAGAAAGTACATTTTTGTGCCAAATTTTGTAGCTTAACTTATCACCCACACTAATTTATTATTATATTTATGGAGCGCATCTTAAGCGTTCAAATTTAATACGTGAAAGCCCGATCATTAAATTAAAAGTTGTTTAAGCTTTTTTTTTTCTCTTTTTGAAGACTGCACGTGAAGCAATTTTTTAATAATAAAACTTGGAATAATACTGGTTCTTTAAAAATTATTTTTAATTTTGAATGTTATGGACATTAATTTATTTTCAAATTCAGATGAATATTATAATATAATTTTATAATATAATCGTATAATATAATTTTGAAATCAAATANTAGTTACGTTTGTAAGAAGTGATATTAAATCAATATTTTTTTGTTTTTCACAAACAGATTTTAAAACGGAGTGTTTAGCAATAATTGCAAATGAAAAGAATTGTGTTTCAAATAACTGGTCAGGATATAAATTCAGCTTTATCTTGACATTTCTTCACATTCAAGATTAACCTGAAAAAAAGAAAATGTGTTTTAATATCTAAATAAATAAACACTAAATAATATAATTAATAAGTGCAAACGATGGTTTAAGTTGCAATGTGACACAAAAACATAACTTCTCTGAATAGAATTATCTTTCTTTTTTTTCTTTTTCAATGGATTCAAATGTTTCAAAATATGGATGGCAGCCGTAATTTTGAAAATATAATCTCAAAAATAGAGGAGTCATTTTCTAATTTTTTGTCCTTCCATGTCATTCTCATTCTTTACGTTTTTATCTGAATTGTTCGAATCGTATCTTTAAGGAAACCATATTTTTTCATTGTAATTCTCAGAAACTTGCAAACCGATTTCGTTGAGAGTTTGATATTTTTCCCCCCATTTAAAATTGAATTGGCTATGAAGGTGTAAAACTTGTTCACTTTACTAATGAAACGTTTTTAATCATTATTAAATTAAATATTAAAAATCAATAAATACTTAAAATCAATAAAATAGTATTAAAAATTACTGATTGTTAAAATTTGTTTAAAGAAGAAACATAATTTTTTTAAGGTATAGAGACGTAATAAAAAACAAAAAATGTAAGAAAAAAAAGGAGTTCAGATTTTCAATTTTGACGAGCTTTTTGACTACACAATTACGCCCACATTTTTTTCAGATCACGGAAACCCTTTGAAGTGCCAGAAATCCTTGGAAAAATTTTTTTTATTCAAAGAAAGTAAATTTTTGTGCCAAATTTTGTAGCTTAACTTATCACACACACTAATTTATCATTATATTTATGGAGCGCACCTTAAACATTCAGATTTAATACGTGTAAGCCCGATCATTAAATTAAAAGTTGTTAAAAGCTTTTTTTTTCTCTTTTTGAAGACTGCATGCGAAGCAATTTTTTAATAATAAAACTTAGAATAATACTGGTTCCTTAAAAATGCCATTAATTGACTAAATCATTAGAAATGCCACAAACTGATTGGATCATTAGAAGTACAACGAAATGAAGGCAGGTTGCATTTCATGTTAAACCAATCAAAAAAATTTAATGCTAAAAATATTATAAATAGGGGAGAGCGTTGTACCTTGGGAAAGACAGCATAGCGACTAACAAAACTAACCTGATGTAATTGTTTTCTTAGCCACCAAGAGTTAATGTAGCAACTTTAAAGTGAGATTTGAGAGAGATAGAAAAGAAAAGGAAAATATTTATTTCGTTGGAAAGTAAATTATTATTCCCCCCCCCTCCATTTTTTCGTAATTGATTTGTGTTAAAAATTAGGATAGTGTATTTAACACTTAATTGTGTTTTACTTAATGGTATGGTTAGTTAATCAGAGCAACTAACCGATAGCACTTTTACAGGCCATGTTTTGTTTTTCTACAATGTGAATAAATTAAGGTTGAATCTTAGGACAAGTCCAATACCTTGTTAAAACGGAAACGAACACTTTCCTTTATAGAAATGAAACCCTATATGAAATGTATGAAGAAGAAATAATATGTAAATTATAATTTGCTCTCAACAACAGGATCTTCGGTGTATCAGAAGCAATCACTCAAGTTCCCCTTGGATTTCAGTGCATATGACATTACTAGATTAAGAAGACTTTCATTACTTTTTCTACTATGTTTTGTATTTTATATTCATAAAATAAGATTTATTTTCTATATTTTTATTTTTCATTTAGTATCAAGGTATAATACCCTTCATCACGAGGCACAACATCCTGCATCCCAAGGTATTACATGATGTTGTATTTTGAGATACTTTGCAAGGATGTAAGAAATAACTTATTACTCCCTCCTAAAATGATTTATTTTTAATTTTGAAATGCTTATATAGATTCTTTAAATGGTAAGCAATAAGATATTAATTAAATTTCTACTGCGATTCTTACCCAAATAACAAGTAAAAATATTTGCTTTGGAACTGTCCCAAGATACAACGCCTTTCCCTATATTCAAATATTTTCTAAGTATTTAATTTTCATATGGCAAGTATGCCACTCATTTACAAGTCAAAATATTCCTTTCACGGCCAACTGACACTCCCTCGCTTGATGCATCCGCTCAACTTTACTCACACTCAGAAAAAGTTTAAAAAGTAATCATTCATCTTTATATTCATACCTAAACCTCATTTCTAGTGAAAATAAAAACTAGATAAGAAACTATCACACGGTTTCATCGGATGAGATCGCTTTCAAATTGTTTTCTCTTTTTCATGCTAAATGCTTTTGATTTAAAAATGAAAAACAAAGTCTTTAGAAGTCAAACGCTCTACCGCTAAAAGCTATAAAGTGGATTGCACCAAGTTGCATTTCATATGAAACCACTCGGCCGTTTACCTACTATCATCAAAGGAATTGAATCTCAAACATAATTTTCGGATTGTTGCCCTCAGGCTTTTCTCGAGAGAATGTAACTAAAGAGGAATTGTTCAGTCCTCTCACGTAGCCAGAGAAGAATAATTTAAGACATCTGGGAGTTGATGTAATTGGGGTTCTCTATATGTTTAGTTTCAGCCGGTATTTATAGCTTGTTTGAACAATATTGGGTGACTGCTTCATCAATAATCCGTTTGGTTCTTGTCAAATCATTAAAATTAAGTGACATTTTTCAGATACTTCAATATTGTTTGCAATTCCTAGAGAGAAATGATAAATTCGTAATGATTATTGCTCAGCAAAAATACTTTCTTTAAAATCATAGGCCACAATACTCCAAATTCTATAACTAAGGCTACGTAAACGAATCAAAACTAGCGAACTTTTTAAATTAGAAATGTTATTACTTATACATTACGATAAAATTACCAGAATTTCTTCTCCAAGTAGAATCAGCTAACACAAGACACGTTTATAACTGAATTCGATAGATTTTAAAAATGATAATAATAATAATAAAATATAAAAGGCTGTCAAATTTTTGATCAATGGCAAAATATGTTTCATTGCCTAGTGTAAGCTCTAAATTTGCCAGTAAAATCATAGTGCCTTTTTTAAAAGCATTATAAAATCTATGCTATAAAATTCTTTGCATCATCATGTATAAATTCATAGAATGAAAATTCTATTTATTAATTTAAGTTGAACAGTGATTCAAAACCAAAAAATTCAAAAGAAAAATGAATCTTGACGGATTACTTCCGGACCTATATTTTCCTTAATGCTTCATTTGCATCAGCTTTATGTTACGCGTATTTATAAGCAAAAAAGAATATATTATGTCTGGGAAAAGAGGTACTTCCTACTTAAGCTTAATAGGGGGTCTAAAGTCTCCCGTGAGTATTAAAAGTTCTTTACATGATCAAATTCAGATCTCTCTGTAAGTCACGGAAGGATGATATTAAACAGTAAATTTCTTGTATCCAAAAGCATGAAAGCTTTTCCTACAAATAAGATTTGTTTGAAGTAGTTTCCTTTAGTGAAAACTTCCGGGAGATAATTTTATTTAATAGTTGAAAATAATTATAAAAGAAATTAATCATTTATGTTCAGATCATATTTATTTAGATAATTTTTCAATTAAAACTTCAAATATTGCTGGATTGGTAAATGTATTTGCTATTATATTTAATATTTTTGAAAATATCTTTGCATCTTAAAATAGCTTTTAAATATTTATTTATTGATTTAAAAGAATTCTTTATGTATAAAGAAATTATGCTTTTACAAAACACAAATGTGCGCCATTGTAGATAAACTTCCAGAAACTTCAGGTTTGA